GAGTCTGGATGACATTCCTACTCCATGATATTTGAATTCATAATATGAATAATCACTCTGTGTCACAGGCTGTAGGGAAAAGCAGTTTTCTGGGCACCACAATGGAAACAACCATGCACTGTAGATTAACCAAATCCAAAACTGTATCTTGTGTGCAGGTCTTCTGGTGAACCTAAAACTACATTTAACAGAGTCAGGAATCTCCTAATTAATGAAGAAATGAGTTGAGGGAGGGGAAGGAGTTGGTAAATACCTGTTTGCAAAAAAAATAAACATTTTCCTGGGAGTTTTCACAACTTGATCAAACCTTTGTGAACAAAGATCTGGACCACAGAGATAATTTCTCACTTAGTGATAAAATTATTTTTATATTCCGGAGTAAATAAGTCAGAAAGAGACTTCAGGATTCATTGTTGAAGTTTTAAAATGGGAAACTATCAAAAAAACAGATCTGAATGCATAACTGGTCATATGTCAGTTGGATGGTATAAACAGCAACCTGGGAAAAAGCTATCTTGCTCTGGAAGTATCCCAGTAACTGCACAGGGTTACTGCTCTAGCAATATTTTATGCAATTCATAATATAAATAAAGTGATATGAAAAAGTCTGTTGTCACAGATATAAACACTTCAATCTACCAAGCTCTATAATTATTTTTCATTCATTAAATTAGGGCCAAATCAAAATGTCTTGCTCAAGAGCTGAAGAAGAGAAATATTTCAATAAATGGTTTTTTTTTCTGTCTTCAGCACATTCGAAAATCTGCAGACGCTAATTTCTAGTAAGTGGTACAGTGAAAGTCAGTGGAACAAAAACACTTTACAAAGCAAAGAAACCAGACAAACCGTAGGTCTTTTCTGTTTCCTTACGGACATAGACAGATTTCTGAATGACAGTGACTGCAAAAAGATTGGTCTGGTTTTATAAATCACCTGAAAACCAAAGCAAATATGATCCTTAAAAGAACAAGTCCTATCAAAGAGTGACAAATCAGTTTTGAATAGAACCTCAAAATGTGACTCTCATTGAAACACCACCAGAGTTCAGTGAGAGCATACTCAGACTGAACGTTCTGAAAAGGAATGTAAGTAGAATACATATCTATTGCGTAAGCACTTTAATGAGTCTTACATTAAGCCTTGTTGATCTGGCTTGGGCAAAATACACCATCAGACTACATCAGCAGGTACAGAAGTGGAGCAAGCTAATCCTGGAACAGACGCCTTTATACCAAGCACTGCTTTGAATTTTGCAGAAACTTACTTTGTGGACTGCATAAATGCTAAACCAATTTTTTTTACTTCAGAAAAAGATGGTTGCAACTAGGATACAGGTTTACATCACTTTAATGACAATGTTTACAGGTAAATATTTTCTTTTTGTGTACTAATATGTGCACTTAGGCTGTATAGAACACGTCACAGCTGTCTGTCCAGACTGCTTGCTTGTACTTGTGTGGTATTTATTAAGTGTCAAGGAACAGGAAAGAAATTTCTAACTAAAGGTGTGTATGAAAAGTGTAATTAGGATAACAGTTCTATATCGGTTTAGTAGAAATGAAAATTGGAGGTGTTTAGTAGAAAGCAGGCTTGAAAAATTGCTTTTGTCATTCTGCTTCGGTAAGAAAAGCTTTTCTGCTAAATTTGAGGCAGATAGTTTAAGAGATTAATAGGTAGAGAACAGCTACCCTGTAGTAGTAGTAGGTGAAACAAAGTGACAAAGCTATGAGTGCTGTTTTCCAACAGTCAAAGGGGCTGCTTCACCTCTGTTTTGAATGAAACTTCGTAGGAGGAAGAAATACTTATTACCTATAGAAATAGGATAAAAAATATTCTCAATATATTTTCCTATATTCACCTATATTTTCATATATAAGTGGGCATGTAACATATTTAGAAGAGAAAATGCTGAATGGCTTCATTTTAAAAATACAAATACGTTTAGCTGAGCAAATGTATGCAACTCTGAAAAAACAGTTCCTCACAGTTGCTTTTCAGAATTTGTTTTTTTACATGCTATCTTCTCCTCCAACCTGAGCTATTTGAACTGCTTATACAGCTCTATAAATATTGGCTAATCCTTTTATCTAGAGTGCTTTTATCTTGAGTGACAGTGGTCTTTGCTTGCATAGCAGTTGGCAGATAACAAGCAGTATCAACCACCCAGCTTGTAAGAACAGCTGATTTATTTATTCCTGATATGAAAAAAATGTTTTGCTTACTTTTTGCTGACCTATATTTATGTTTCCGTTTCTGTTAATCCTTTTATGAAATATCAGCCATTTGAATCTGTGTTTATATGTATGTACAAACAGTATGTATATAGGTACCTCCAAAATCATTATTTCACAACATATTATAAATGTAATTACTTTAAAAATAAGCATTTGTATTCTGACACTGAAACACTTATGAAAATGCACGTAATGAAGTCATGCTGTGAAAATCACTTTGCAGTTAGAAACTGATGTTTTCACATTCTATGGGAAAATAACACACCAAAAACAGTGTGTCTCCATTTTAAAAACTGCTGCTGTGTCTTTGTTAGACACCAATATTCGTGTTATAAAAGTGTTATCTAAATTTAAAGACAGAAAGGTATACGATTTCCAAACAAGTTTAGCACATTCATGAAAACTTCTCATTAATTTTACTTTTAGTGTGGTGAGGTAGAGAATGACACAGACACTGAAGTTTGCATTGGGCTTGGTCCATGCATGTTTCAGCTGCCTGTGGACAAGTCCCTCCTATAACGTGCAGCTCAGAGCACGGGCTGCAGGCAGAAGTGCTGCCTTGCCGGGGCTTGGAATACTGAACAAATGCATGCAGAGTGGAATATGCAGCAGTAGAGTTGCTGGGCAGGCACCATTGCATGCCATTCACTTGGTTGATCTTTTTAAATGGTGGGCTTATATTTTTTTGTCTATGAAAGGTTTAACAGTAGCCCCCAGTCTATAAATCCTTACATTCGCTCTGATCACTCTGAGGCTCAATAGCAAACCTAAGTACAAACCTGATCCTAGTGCTTTTAGGAATTAATTTTTCTCTCTGACACAAAAACCCAATGAGACCCATATTTCTACAGCTGTCACAGTAAGACCGAGCAGTCTACAAGACCTGTGGACACATTGCTCTGGATGTCAAAGCAGGAGATGTACTAAAACACTGACTGAAACAGGAAACAGCTCACGGTGACTTCACTTTTCATATACCAGAGCAGTAAAAGCAGGACAAGTCGCTAACACAGAAATTGCCATAAACCGGGCAAAGCAGGCATTGTTCTGGCCCGCAGTCAGAACAGGTTTGGGAAGTGCACATCACTTTGGGAAAGTCAGTCCTGATGATTCATATTTCTGCCAGATGCCACTACACATTAAGGTATACAGACATCACATGTTGGAATAAATATAAGCCTGGCTGGAAAGCAGAGAGACTGCTGCGGTATAACCCTGCTGTCAGACCAGGGAGGGCACGGTGGTGTTTGATACTCTGAGGCTTCAAGCGGAAACTGTGTGCTGTAATAAAAGAGAACACTGTAATGAGGAAGATCTCTGCTAAGAGGGCCTTTTACATATGTGCTGTGACCACTTCACTTTGCCTAATCTTTAAAACAATCTCAGCCAACTCTGAGTTCCCTTCTGGCTCTCTCATAACTTACCTCTCTCTAAGATGGGTCTAGTTACAGCTGTGATTGAGTAAAGTGGACAGGCAGGGAATTAGCCTTAGTAGATAAATTTATCTGCTTCTATCTGAATCTATTCGTTGTGGCTGAATGCTGCTCTGTAATTTTCCATGAAAAAATGACTGTATTTTGCTATAAAAATAAAAGCCCTGTGAATCTGTAAGTAAAATTAGGTGTGGTGCCTAGTACCTGGCTATGGCTCTGTGAGCCTCATCTTACCCACTGAGGTAACCTGCAGGCACCTCATATGGTGAGCGAGCAAGAAGATGCTGAAGGCAATTCTGCTGCAGGGACAGACATCATTGTGCTTATAAATTACTTTATGCTGTTGAGAATTTACAGTTATCTTTCAAGCTACTATTTCATATTCTTATCTAGAACAGTGCAAATATTAAGGGTTGTACTTTGCATAAGTTTTCAAAAAAGCAGTTGGATATATTTTGAATGCTTTCAAGACACGAAAGATGTTTTCTCCGATTCATTTCACACTTACTAGCACAACAACACATCATCAGTAGAGTAAAACTAACCTGTCTCACGATGGTCTAAACCCAGCTCATGTTCCCTATTAGTGGGTGAACAATCCAAGTGCTCCCGAGAAAAGTTACTATAGTTATTATTTTGTAGATGGTCAGTAGTCCAGATTAATAAGCTGATGAGCAAACAGATTTGTCTTCCTTTGTGCAGCCTGACCCAGTATACGTACTTGGGTCACAACCTATCAAATCGCAGTGAAGGTAAAATGAGCTCTACTTTTATCCTGTATACCAAAAACCAAGCACCATCTGAGAGAAGAGGAAGTAGGAGGCAGCATCACTCATGCTTTAATTGCCATCCCTGGGGTATTTGGGGAGATGATTTGTTCCTCTTTTCTTACTTTACAGTTTGAAAATAGTAGGGGTAAAGAATGTTCCACTGGAGATACACAATACCAGGAATATTTTTCTGGATCACATGGGTTCAGACCCCTCCAACTACTTCTCTCACATCCTTCTTGTCTCAGTCTGAGATCATAACTGATGGGCCAGAAGTCACCTCTGCTTTTCTTTTTTTTTAGGAGATATGAGATCTGTTGTTCATTTGTAAGAAACTACAATATGCATCTACTCCTGAAATGTGACAACTGCACATTCATTGTGGATGTGGTGCATCTTAGCCAGATCTCTGATAGAATGCAGGGTCAAGCTCCAGCAGCTCCCTGCTCAATCTGTGAATTTCATTCTTAAGTTAAAGATGATTTAACAGAGCACACGTTCTTAAAAACACCGTTCTGGGCTCTAGTTGCTCAATCCAGAATCTCCAATTCTTTGTTCTTTAGGTATTCACTGTGATGAAGACATCAATGAATGTCACATGAACCCTTGCCAAAATGGTGGCATCTGTGAGAACTTTCCTGGGAATTACACTTGCCATTGCCCACCTGCAGACAAAGAAGGGATTTTTTACGGCGGCTGGAACTGCACAGAAATCCTCCATGGCTGTACTGATCAACAATGCCAAAATAATGGAATATGTATCCCGCATTTAAAAAATGGCCATCATGGATTCAGCTGCATATGCTCACCTGGATATACTGGAATACACTGTGAAACTGTAACTACATTTTCTTTTCAAGGAAATGGTTTCCTTTGGTTGAAGAATCCCACAACCACTAAAGAGGAATTTTCCTATAATATAAACCTGAGGTTTCAGACTGTGCAACCGTCAGCCTTTCTATTTTATCGAGGAGAGAAAGACACATTTGTGAAGCTGGAGTTACTGAATGGCTACTTACATTTGTCCGTGCAAGTCAAAAACCAGCCACGGGCTCTTTTGCATATTTCACATAATGTCAGTGATGGAGAATGGCATTCAGTGGAGGTAACCTTGGCAAGAGCTGTTACTCTTAATTTACTTGACAGCTCTTGTGCAGAATCATGTGTCAATAAAACTTCTGCTATGATAGATAATGATCACGTGAGGCTTGCATTTCAGAGCACATTTTTGGGCAGCTTACCAGTGGGGAACATTAGCAGCAGCTCTCAGCTTAACATCAGTAATATACATTCTACACCTTCATTTGTAGGCTGTCTTCAGGATATTGAAATAGACTTGAATGTTATTACTCCAGAGAATGCATCACCTGAATCCTCTTTAAACGTCGAGACAGGATGCAGGAAGAAGGACTGGTGTGAAAACCACCCCTGCCAGAACAGGGGCCGCTGTTCCAACCTGTGGCTGAGTTACCACTGTGACTGCTACCGGCCATACGCGGGGCCGAGCTGCAGAGCAGGTAAGAGCATGTGATGCCGTCAACGCTGTCAGGGGGTGTTGAAAACATAACCTGGCCTCGGGGGTGAGCCAGCATGACCCTAGGGATCTCTGGAACTTATTGCCCACCGGTAAGAAGGCACAAGGGGTTAGCAGTAGCACATGATCATTATTTTCTAGTTATTTTCCAAGAAGGCTGCTTTTCAGCTTGACAAAAAGTCAGGCCAAACTGGGGGATTCTACTCATCCAGTTTTTAAATCTTCTTAGCACTCCATAAACTCTGGAAAACTGCAGTTCACAGGAGGTTATGCGCTCCGAGTAAAATTTAGAAAGCAACCGAGTCACTTGGAGTCGAAGTCTTATTTTCAAAGCATTCTTTCAGAATTTTATCCTCTCTAGGCTGACATAAAGAAACTCATTTAAGGCCATGAAAGGCCAGCAAAGCACTGCAAGTTAAAAAAAAATACATACAGATTCCAATTTTACAAAATGAACAAGATTATCCTATTAACTTAATCTGATTAGCCTGAGGAGAATCCAGGTCCTCGTAGGCCGTTCCTTCTCAGCCAGGTCCTGCACAGCTCCGGGCAGTGACTAACGACGGGCAGTGACTAACGAGGGCTGTGCTACCAGAGAACTGCTGAGGGCCAGAAGGAGACGTGCCCATGTGTTAGCGAGCAGAAGAGCACATGTCAGAACACAGCCTCTTTGGCAGTGAAGCAGGGATTCAATAGCTGGCAGTGCCTGTAGCGCATTTCCTGCTACAAGTGATCGTTCTAAGCATGGGCTGAGACAAAGCGGGAGGACACCAGCAGGTCCCCTGCTGTCCCACATTCATGCTGGAGCAGCAGCAAGTAGCCCTCTGGAGCTGAATAAAGCACATCTCAGGAGCACCAACAGTGCTGTGGTCAGATGAGAACAGACAGACTGTACTGGTGTGGGCTGGCACAGCCAGGACAGTCCACTGCCTTACCGCAGCTGAATGGCTGGGCCCAGGGGCTTGCCGGCGGCACTGCTGCAGAAAGCTGTGGCTTGAAATGCACTTCAAAATGTTTAAAGACAGTTTCATTTTGTATGCTATACTTGATAGGTATCAATACTTTTCAATAGCGTTTTTTTCCCTTATTGCAAAATGACAAAGTCTGAGAGGTAATTGTAACAGACTTCTTTGAAGTCTAGCTGTAATTTATCCAAAGGTTTGGAAAGCAACTTTGGAGTATAGGACAACATCTGGTAAATATGTTGGCCTTCTTATATGAAGTGAAATTAAAACCAGTCAGGGCCAGGAGAGGCTTATGCTGGCATTACAACTGTTCAGAATGATTAGAAAGCAAGCTTTTTTTTTCTTTTTTTTTTTTCCTCTCTGCTGACCACAGCATTCTTTGCAGTGTGTGGCACCATGCCACTTTGATACATAGGTTCTAGATATACGCCATTTTTAAAAGACTGTGGCAGGTAGCTTAAAAAGCAGAGTGGGGGAGACGTGTGGCAAAGGATAACATAAGAAATGCTAGCGTCTTTTTGAAGAAAAGTTGCTGCCAAGTATTTAATTGACAAGAGGCAATATTTTCTCTACATACACAAAATAACAAACAGATGTTGACTCATTTTGATCAGCATCCAGATGTTGTGACCCAAGAGGTTAATGCTAACCAAGGTGATGCTAGCCATCTCATCAAGCAGAAGATCAGACTGATGATATATATATGTATATATACATCATCTGTATATATACGTATTTATAAATAGAAATACAACAAAATGATTGCAAACATGAAATACCTTTTTGAGAACTAACGGTAACTAATTCCAGCAGAAATTTTATTTTTATCTACACGAAAATATAGTTCAGTCTGTAGAATGACCTTATCAAGAGGGTATATCTGAAGAAGCTTCATGCCTCAAAACACCCATTGCAACAAATAATTATTTCTATAGGCCAGACTTTTCAACACATAGATTTAGAAACAGAGGTAATGTTACTCTTAGTACTAAAATTTTTGAAATTTGATTTATGAAACTGTTTATGAACAACGAAGGGATTTATTGCTTCCAAATAAATGCCAAATAATACTACTGTGCCACATGGTAGTGCAGTGTGATTACTAAAGGTCTGCTAGGATCTTCACATTTTCATGGCTTTTTTTAATGTAGTCAATTAAAAAAAGTGCTGCTGCAGGCAGCAACTTGACCTATGAGGTCTCACTCGAGGAGTTTTACAGTGCAAAAGGGAACTGACTGTTCAGCTATGTGAACATTTAAAAAAAAAAAAAAAGCTTGGTTTATTCTTTCTATGAATCTGATATATTAAAAAATCGCTCTTGAAAGTGTTTAGGCAGGAAGTCTATAATACCAAGGACAAGATCATGAAACGTGAAGTATAAAAATAGAAACACTTTGTTGTGCTTTAACGAGATGATTCATCAGAATAAAATACGCTTTGGACTACATATTTTATATCCTTACGAGTCTGAAAATCATTACTGAAAATAAAGAGTAAGGCAGAGAGACAGATGGTTTTGGTTTAATCATTTTAATTGATAAGCCCAAAAAAATAAAAAGGCTCACTCAATCCTAGCTCATTTTTCCCCATGACACAGTAGCATTATAAGCACTCAGGAGTGAGCAGAACTCATATTAGAACTTACTGAGTCTGTTGAAAAACCTGTGCAAGACAAAATAGGTGTGCTATCTGTAAGTGTTATACAAGAGGGTTGTGCTAAGCAGCTTCTGACAATACAACATAAAAAATCAATGAAGCTCAAGAATTATATAAACTTCCCTTGTCATTAGAGAATCAAAAGAAATAGCTTCTTTTCTAAATGATTTTTCTGATGACCAATCCTGGAAAATGTAGAAATTTGTCCTTAAACTGTTTGCAAACACAGTATCGCATGGAGCTTGATAAAGGGGAAAATTGTGCACAGTAATATAACATCTGGTCCTGTACTGGGGCCTAAAGTTACAGCCATGGAAGCTGACAGGAGTTTTGGAATAGAAGCTATTTATGGCCAGAACAAGTCTTTATTCATCCATAAATACCAGCACATCTTACTGCCATAAGTAAAGTATATAATCAGAAGTAGCTATTTGATCATTATACTGGTTCCTTTGTCATTTAGCCCTGACTATTCTATTTTTCCTCTTCCTTTCCTTTTTCACCTTTTCTCCTGTTGCTAATCCCAAGAGTATATTCCAGGTCGATTTGGATCTGAGGACTCCTCAGGCTATGCTGCTTTTTCTGTTGATGCTACTGAGAATGAAAATCTGAATATATCCATGTTTGTCCGAACTCGCAAATCTTCTGGCTTGTTACTGGCTTTGAGAAACAGTACCTGTCTCTATGTAAGAGTCTACTTGGAAGATGGGAAACTCACGATGTTAGCTCCAAATTCCATGAAGCTATTAGGGAAACATCCTATAAATGATGGAAATTTCTACCTAATAACATTAAAAATAGAACCAAATATGTTGGAATTATTCCAATCCTCTCAATACTTAGGCTTTATTTCTACTCCACTACTAACCACCCAAAGTAAGGACTTTCTTTACATCGGAGGCCTACCAGATAACAGAGAAACTGATAGAAATGGTGGGTATTTCAAAGGCTGCATCCAGGATGTAAGAGCGAATAACCAGCCGCTGGAATTCTTCCCCCTCACCAATTCACTGAATTCTTTTATCAACCGAACCCTGATCAACGTCACCCAAGGCTGCAGTGGTGACAATCTCTGCAAGGTAAGAATGACATTTTCATTTCATTTTCATGTTTTTGTCGTGTGGAATTAAAAGACAAAACAAAACAAAACAAAAAAACAACGTAATTTTTTGTACAATATATAATGATAATATCTTAGCAAAATATGTAAAAATGCTAGAAAGAGCAGATTTTGATATGTTTTGATAAAGCAAAGTTATGATAAATATGATGAATAGTATCAGCAAAATGTACTGGCATAGAAGAAAATGAAAATATTTTAAGGTTGCAATACTATTGTTCACAAATTATTAAAATGTTCTGTGCAGTCTTAGTACTAATTGCTTTCCATTGGATATAAACAGAATTTTCCTTCTCGACAAAAAGTCTACATTCCTAGAGTTGTGAGTCCACCAAGATTGATTCACGCTTTGATTATCTCTTCTCTTTCCCCATAGTCCAGTCCTTGCCACAACGGTGGTGTATGCTATTCAATCTGGGATGACTTCACTTGCACATGTCCCCCTAACACTGCAGGAAAAGCTTGTGAGGAAGTTAAGTGGTGTGAGCTTGGGCCCTGCCCTCATGAAGCACAATGCAAGCTGGTGCACCAAGGATTTGAATGTAGGTAAATTTCAGTTATTCCTGTCATTTTTGGAAATTAGAAACAATTGATCAGCATTTCTTAAAACTAAATATTCACTTATTTAAAAATTCAATGGTATTTCTATATTATGTAGGTTGCTCTGAATGTAATGCCTCCTATTTTATTTTCATGGAAATGACAACAGCTACAAAGAGGATAGTAACAGAGGATAGTAACAGTATTTAACAGAGCAAATTCTTGCCTACAAAGCACCATTCTGCAACACAGTCACCATCAGTAGCTGTGAATTTTCACCAGTGATGAACAAGAGCCTGCATGATGCACTTGTGAAAATCTGCACCAGTTGAGGTGACCCACTGTCACTGCCACCACTGCTGAAATGCACCACCACTTCATTGCACTCTCATCAACTGTTTGGTCTCCCTAAATGTTCAGCAAACATCAGTGAATGTCAGTAGGTGCCATTTTTTCCCTGCATGGAAGAATTCAGGGACACACCTTTGCTTCCTAAACACTTCCATATCAGATGCCATTTTGTCTGACTTCCTCTCTGCTGCTGTCTGTTGCACAGAAAAAAAAAAAAAAAATGTAATGGGATGTGGGCAGGAAGTTTCAACCTCTACAGTGATATTACCAATATCTGCCTCTGACATCACTAGCAAAAGGAATAAAATAAGAGGCATTACTTTTGGAGCAGCCCCATATAATAACAGAAATAACAATAATAATAACAATTGTAAGTTCTATTAATGAGAATATCCTGGCATATCAGCATCAGAAATTTTCAACTAGACCCAACGATGCAGGCACTGATGTTTACATAACCTTTGCTTTTGACTTATCCGCGAGAGCATGCCAAAGTTGTAGAACAGATTGCTACATTGCCTGACTGTAAGGGTACCCTACATCCCTGCACTGCAAAGAGATAAGACAACATGCAGTGTTGGATCAACTTAGGATGTTCTCCATCCTCCTGAAGATAAAAGCTACATTATATAAATTGCATCACTTGATATTCTTCAATGTTTAATACCTTTGTAGAAAGTCACCTTAACACCAGCTGTACGGTTATTAAATTAGTATCTTGGCAAGAAGCAGCATGCCAAGTGGTCTATTTGTTTGAAAACTGATAGCCATTAACTGACTGAACATTAGCCAGCCTGCACATCTTTCCTTCTCTTTCTTTCTCCTTACCACCCTGAACTGGAGGAGAATATAACAAGCAAGTAGGGATTTTCAAGCCACGTTTTCTCTTTTTGCTACCAAAGTCCAAACGATGCTATGAAGGAAGAGAAATATACACAGAGTCTGCTAGAATGGTTGATTCTTAGGAATGAGAAGGTTCGTCACCAGAAGATTACTATCGTGGGCAATTTGCATGCAGATCAATATGGTGCTGTTTTCACTGAGATTGTTAGAATCAGCACTGCAGCACTTGTAAATATTTACAGCTGTAATTAAAATAATTATGCCTTCTCAAATACACATATTTAATGCTGGCATCAAATATGTTCTCTCAAAATTCACTTTTGCATTTTAGGAAAACGTGAACTCCAACTATACAAAAGAAAATCAAAGCAACAAACCAAAACCTAATCATAAAACACACACAAAAACACACACACAAATCACACAAGAAGAAACAGAGAGAAAGCTTCTACAAGAAGATGATGCAGGGAGAGTCTAATAACAACAAAAACTTATACTCAGTGGCACAAATGATGGTAAAAACTTCTTCCCAAATACTATCTAGAGAACACTGGTACAGTTACATTAAGTCAAATTTGGCTACATGTGTAAGCCCGTATAAAGCAACTGAGCACCTAAGGCAAACCAGTGCAGCACCACTGGCTGGTAACCTGGTCTTTAACTATTATTTCTTTGCTAAGTGCTTATTCTGGGCTACCCTCACAAGAAGAAGCAAGGTTCAACTCTTATCTACGCTTCCGTACTTAGATCAGCTCACTGGTTTTAGTAGACCTACTTCTGATTTACATTACAGTAAATAAAGCCAGAGACATTGGGTAAGGGTCGCTGTCCCCCTTCCCTCATTAAAGGGAAATGAGCTGGAAGCTGTAGGATTAGGATTTCAGGTAGCACTGCTCTGTAATCTTTGCAGCCATAAGAGGCAAGCAAGGATAACTGGGATACTGATGGAATTGAATTGCTTTTTAGTAGAAACAAAAGGATTTAAGTGATGGGGATCATGGAATCTTCATCTCTCTGAAGAGATACTGTCCAGGTGGACTGGTTTAAAGCTGGCCTGGTTTCTCAATTATTATCTTTGCACAGGTCTCACTAATGCAGTGTTTAGCGGCCGAAGCAGCGCTATATTTTACAGAAGCAACGGGAAAATCAGCAGAAGCCTCACCAATATCGTGTTTGGCTTTCGAACTAGGGACACAAATGTGATACTGCTATATGCGGAGAAGGAGCCTGAATTTGTTATCATCAGCATTCACAACTCCAAACTGGTCTTCCAACTGCAAAGTGGCAACAACTTTTACATGTTGACTCTCACTAGCTCACTGACTGTGAGTGATGGGAAGTGGCACCAAGTGATGGTCTCCATGCTGGAGCCCCTGTCTCAGTTCTCGAGGTGGCACATGAGTCTTGACAACAAGGACACTGCAACCAGTACAGCTGCTACAGGAAGTCTCAATTTTCTACAAGAAGAGGCAGATATCCATGTGGCTGACAAGGCTTTTGACAATTTGGATGGCCTGCGAGGATGCATGAGCACCATAGAGATTAGTGGAATTTATCTCTCCTACTTTGAAAATGCTGATGTCCTGACTAAAAAACCTCAAGAGGAACAATTTCTCAAAATATCTGCAAATCCTGTTCTTACAGGCTGCTTGCAGGAGGATGCCTGCAGCTCAGAGCCCTGTATACACGGGGGGACGTGTGAAGACTTGTACACCTCCTATCGCTGCATGTGTCCCCCAGGGTGGGCAGGCACCCATTGCGAGACCAACATCGACGAGTGCTTCTCCAACCCCTGCATTCATGGAAACTGCACGGATGGGATCAGCTCTTATGAGTGTGTCTGTGAACCCGGCTACACAGGGTTGAACTGTGAAGAGGACATAGACTACTGCCGTGGCCACCAGTGTGCAAATGGGGCCACCTGCATAGATGGGATTAATGGATATTCATGTCTGTGTGCTGGTAACTTTACTGGAAAGCTTTGCAGGTAATACAGACTAGGTAGGTCCACATGAATTTTTTCAGGTCTCACCTGAGATTGTTACACCACTGATGCTTCCATTTAAATGCACATCTAATAAACTGCACATTACAGACCTGTACATTATAAGATACGCATCTAGTTATATACTAACTGTGGCTGTACAATTGATGTAAAAAGTCTGCAGTACAGAAAGCCATAGAGATCAGTTAGATATGGACAAAGAGAGTGGAAAGGCACCAGACAGGTTTCAGAGAGGTGGGGAGCAAGACAGAGCTCTGCTGCCAGCCTGAAACATACAACTCCTCACTGTCAGCATTACAAGTCAGCTGGATAGCTGAGGTAGATGCATTGCAAGGATTCTGAAAACGTTTTGAATCTCTGAAACTATGTTTTATCAGAATAACAGCAAACTAGTGAAAGTCTTAGTGGGTGGGTAAGAGAAACAAGTAGAGAAGAGTTTGTAAAAAACTTTTTTTCCCCACCCATAGCATGTTTGCTGGGTGTGTCTTTTCCTTCTAGGCTTCTCTCAGCCCAGCAGTTCTGCTGGCTGTAGCACCACACTGCCCACTCTATGCATCACATCTGCTGATCTCACTGTACTGCTTACAGTTCCTCCCAGACAATCCACTGTGAGGGGAGCAAGCCCTCCCTTCACTTACCCTTCTCTTCACATTGTATGTTTCTCCCTTCTGAGAGGGCAAAGATATTAAACAGCTAATTTCTACAGCTACCACAGCTAAGAATCTCTTTCCTCTAATTTAATTTTTAAGTGAAAGTCCCTAAACAATTATACCTTTTTATATTCTTACCTACTACCAGCAGTTGGTTATTTTCATCATACAGTCATGTTGGTCTGAATGTAAGGATTTTTTTTTTTTAAGAGATTAGATTCAAGAAAAAGTGTTAGTTTTTCAAACATCCTTCTACTCTTTGCAGCCACATGCTGCAACGTGACACCCAAGCTGTTGTGACCCTGGGGTTGGTGGCAGAACTTAGTGCATCCTTGAGAAAGCAACTTCAAATTCAGGTAGTTAAGTAAGTGGACCCAAACACACTGTGCAGTCCTAGGCACCAGCTCTGCCTTTGTGTAGTGTTGGCACCCACCCTCCACAGCCCATCCCTCACCATGCAGGCATGGCCAGCCCCAGACACCTGCCTGTGAGTGCACACAGGCACGGGGTTTTCCTACGAGGGAGAGAACCAGGGAGGCAACAAGTTGTGTGTGTATCTCCAGAACTGTGTGGTCATCCATGGGTAAAATATGATGCCTCCCCTGTTTGCACTGGATGGCATTTGCCAACAGGAGCGCAGCTCTCACTGTTCAGATACTAGCAGTGGTAAGTTCTGCATTCAAACAACAAATTTGCAAGGTAGATCTAAACATTTTCTGCTAACGCGATGGACTAGACTCAGGAAAAGTGAGAACACGGCATTCAGAAGTGAACAAGGAGAGAGCAAATAACAGCTGTCATTGCCTTTCTATTTATCCAGGTATCGAAGATTACCCTATACAGTTTGTGGGAATGAAGACAGAAATCTCACCTGTTACAATTATGGCAACTGTACTGATCTTGGAGGCAAGCTGGCCTGCATGTGCCTGCCAGGATTTGTTGGAGAACGGTGAGATGCTTCACTTTATGGAACAGTTCTTACAAAAGTCATTCCAAGGGTTTGCCATCCATAGGGAAATTACTCTCCTGCAGAAATACAGAAAAAGCTGGTTGTCAAGTGCAGTAGTTCTTTGCTCGAGGGCCTGAAAGTATAACAGTCTTACTTAGGCAAAAATTACAAATTAGCTCAAGAGGGGTCAGTCCAGTACAGCACCACTAATGCCAGTACAAGCCTTTATTTCTTAGTGAGTGTTGTACAACTCCTGCTCTTTGGATTCAATGCCAAAGTTGTATGTAGGCACACTGGAATGTTATTTTTCTGTATATCTATAGGCACACATAAACACATATATCCTATTCATATATGTATAAAAATTAGCCAGAATACATGCTGACACATAAATAAGCCAAGCTGTCCTATTTTCACATGTATCCATTGTAAATAATCTATTCTCCTACAGGGATAAAATGATGTGAAATATGTGGAAGTGTTATTTTCTTTACCGAATGCCAAAATATGAAAAAAGAATTATTATTTAAAATAAAAGTTGAGAAATACTTCTTACATATTATAGTATGAAATAGAAGGGGCCATCCCAATTTGTATCTTGTAGCAGTTCGCTGCATGATTTCTTACCACTTGTTGATTCTCTACAAACACCTCTGCAGCAGGGAGGTCTGAAGGTCTCAGTGCATAAGGTGTTGTAAAAACATAAGAGGACATCATCCCAATCATAATATGGCCTGAAGTAATGGCAAATTTCTAAATAGTAAGAAAAGGTACACAGAACATAAACAGAAAACTAATGACTTTCACTTGCAGTGCAATTAACATTACATCAGAGTGCAATATCCAAACATTCAGCAGGACCAAGCTGTGCTGGCTTTGCAAACACAAAGCAGTGTTTCAACAAATGGTTTTCATTCTTTCAAAATCTGCTTAATTCACTGACTTCGTGGAACCTGCACAGTAAACCAAAAAGGACAGATGAAATGAAAATTTCCACCCACTCATTGCACAATGTAGTTGGCTGACACATCTGCGCTGTACTCTTTAACTCAGCCAGAAGGCCTGCATGCCACACTAAAAAAAAAAAAAAAAAAAAAAAAAA